CTCTGGAGAGTCTGAGACATTTATTATCTTTCTTGACTGAGTGGAAGTATTGAAATCAGCACCACTACCGCATGCTATTTCAGAAGAATCCAGGGCTGCAGATGAATTTTATATGGAGCTGCCCATGTATGTATCTGACGAGTCAATCGACTCAATGGCACTTAAGGATAAATAGGGCTTCATTTTCTCCGAAGTTCCCAATGTTTGGATAAATTAACGAATTGTCATTCCTTCATAAGTAGAAATCGTATCAGACATCAGACTAGTAGCGAACTTTTACACTCAACTTACGAATTGAAAATGCGCTGTGGTCTCAGCAGAAGGAAGAGACCCCCGCCCTACCCCATCTTCAGACATATTTTTCACCTGTCATCATACAGCTGCAAAACTTGGAAACTATAAAAATGTCATGAGCAGCCCATCTTAATGACTATTGTTTTCCCATTAAGAGTACGCGACTGAACAGGCAGAGTTCCATTATATGAAAACCTATTTACTAAGAAATCCAATGGAAGAAAAATTTGGAAAATTTTCAACGGTATCTGTTTTCTCACTATTCAGACGCTGAAATGTCAAATAGATATTTTTTAAACAAACATTATGAAAACGTGAGCAAGTTGGCGTCATCCCCTCCATCCAATATTCTGGAGACGTTCATACCATCTAGCCAAGCAATTCGGTGCTAGTTGCTTGTTAGAAGATCGAGAAATATCCACAATCAGTCTTACACTATGGCAGTTGTCATTGATATTGAGGATTTCAAAAATTTTCGAAACGATTTTGTTGTGAAAAAATTTGCAATTTCCGCGCTAGAACATTATGGGGATTCAATCCTGAGGCAGTTTTAGTTGATCTACCTCATAAATGAGATGAGTTATTTCCCAAGTGCAAAGAAATGAATCAGTGGTTGTTACGTTGGGCTCCATTGGGACACTCCTGGAGATATCAAAAAAAAATCGCAAAAAAATTTTGTGAAAAAATGGCGCCAAGTCGACGTGAATCTGATCGCCTCCAAGACAGAAACATGGGACAATTACTAGATAGTTGAAATGACACAGTAGGTGAACTGATTATGATATAATTTTATTTTTAAAAAACCATGGAAATGTTAAACAATGCCAAGTTTATGCTGACAGCGTCAACTAGGACAATTTTCCGCAGTTTTAGTTCCGATTGGAAAATCGATTATTGTTAATAAAGGCTTTTGTCATTCCGGCTATAAGACAGTGTTTTACGGCCGCGTCGCTTTGCTTCGCGTCTACGAAACGCTGACTACGGCTGTTATGACAAAAAATAGTGGGCCTCATACGGCCAAAAAAGATTTGTCGACCATTATGATTATTGCAAACCTCATCTTCGCTACAAAAGTTTTTTTCGGCCTAATGACAAAATATATTGTTTCAAACCCCGTCCATAGGAAATTGATTCGGAAAAAAGTCAACTTGGCGCTAATTTTTCCCCTTTAATTCACTGAGTATCATTACGTTACCAGGAACATAGTACAAAATTACAAGTATATTTTAGCATTTCCCCAGCAAGTCATAAATTCGTAAGTAGATTATTGATTGAATGCATCGATTGATAATTACGTAATTACTTCAGTCGTTACGGACATCTTATCATGTATAAGCACTACATCTCATTTTAAACTATTCACTGATGATCTTCGTCCCCCACCCTTTGCCGTTGTCTAATAATGTGAGTGTGCCCCCATGCGTCGCTTATGAACGCGCCATCACACCAACGAGTACCCTCCTCATACCGATATGCTATTTGACGTTCATTGGTGAAAAGGTTAAGTACACGCCAGGTATACGGAATCCAATTGTGATATAATAAGCTGAATCAAATCTCAATAGTTTTGGCGATTTGTCAATTAGCGTGCGAACTCTAGCTTTGTCAATCATTCACTTCCTACGAAGTATGTTCATTATCGAACAGCCCGGCGCGCCAACTTGACTTTTTTCCGAATCAATTTCCTATGGACGGGGTTTGAAACAATATATTTTGTCATTAGGCCGAAAAAAAAATTTCTATCGAAGATGAGGTTTGCATCAATCATATTGGTCGACAAATTTTTTTTGGTCGTATGAGGCCCACTATTTTTTGTCATAACAGCCGTAGACAGCGTTTCGTGGACGCGAAGCAAAGCGACGCAACCGTAAAGCACTGTCTTACAGCCGGAATGACAAAAGCCATTATTAACAATAATCGATTTTCCAATCCGAACTAAAACTGCGGAAAATTGTCCTAGTTGACGCTGTCAGTATAAATTTGGCATTTTTTTAATATTTCCATGGTTTTTTAAGAATAAGATTATATCATAATCAGTTCGCCTACTGTGTCATTTCAACTATTCAGTAATTGTCCCATGTTTCTGTCTTGGACGCGATCAGATTCACGTCGACTTGGCGCCATTTGTTCACAAAATTTTTTTGTGATTTTTTAAATTTAATATTTATATGAATTTTTAAAAAATTGTGTGATTTCATCCATGCAGTTATTGTCCCATGCTTCTATCTTGCGTTTAAATTAGCGTCGGCTTGGCGCCATTCGTTCACACCATTTTTTTATGATTTTTTTTTATGTTAATAATTACTAAACACATGATGCAATCAAAAGTATTGGTACCTGTTTTAAGCCTCTCTGACATGTGTTAGTTAATCATAGTAATTTTCCTCAACGAAATATAATTTAAATATTTATGTTTTAGTTTTTATTCAGTCATTCAAGTTGATTATTGAAAAATATTACATAAAAAATTTAAATTTGGAGGGAATATTTTAATTCAAATATTAACACTTGATTTCAATTGTTGAAGGGTAATTCACAAATATTAGGTTATTTAGGTAATTAATTAAAGATTAAAATGCTCGAAGATTGAAGCACTGAAAATTTTTTATTTAAAGGATTAAATTTAGGTACAATATTGAAATTAAATATCAACAATTGATTCCAATTGTTAAAGGGTCATTTACAAATATTAAATTATCTGTTTAATTAATTGATGATTAAAATGTTCGAATTCTAAATATTGAAAAATTAACTGAACTAAAATTTTTAATTTGGTTGTTATATTCAAATCATTAAATTATTAACAATCGATTCCAATTGTTAAAGAATAATTCACAAATATTAAATGACTTGACCCTCTTTGATTGGCTTACAAGCACGGGCTCCATCCTAGTTCATGCGCCACCGCTACGGACCCGTGCGGCTGAATTCCGTCAGCGCAGACAATTTCCCCTATACTTACTAGTTTTATTCCCTAGAACAGCCCTCCCAAACAGCGCTAGGGAATAGTAACGCTCTCGAAATAAAACTCTTGAAAAAGTGAATTCTTATCCGTTGCTATGAAGTTATTTTTGTGATAATGTAATAATGAAAAAAGTAAAAATCTCATCAGAAAGATCTATATAATGTATCTAAGAATGCGTTTGTAAAATAGCGTGCGTTTGAAGGGGAAAAAAGCAATTGAAGTTTTTTTAAGGGGTTAGGGGCGAGTTGTTAGCTGAAATATGATACACGACAGCTCTCTGCCTGTGACGTCACCTCTGCCTGTGACGTCAACTTGGTAGATACGCTATCGCGTACCTTGATATGAGCAATTGCGTGCATGTGTGACTAACATTGTGAAAAATGTTTCACACATTTACGTTCAAGGCTTGCACAAGAATAACTGGCTGCAGCAAATTCTGAAGAATGAAGTACTAAGTGGGGATTTAAATGACTGACAACCCTGATATGTAGCCTCTAGATTCTAGAGTCTAGAAGATGAAAGTTTTTTTGAGGATGTCTACCACTATAGTCTTTTCGGTGGGAGTCCTACCGAGTACCATTGCGGTTTTGAAAATGCACAACGTTTGAGAAAATGGTTTACTAAATACTACGCAGTAGGCCAGTCAAATTAGACTTTGACCACCTCAAAAAGTCCTGGCAGGCTGAAATTACACCAAAGTGTAGAAAAAATTCCCCTCATAATCATATTAAAAATGTGCACCCACACGTTCAGCAAAAATGTGCTTAATCAATTAAAAATTAATTAAAAAGTTGGGGCGAACGCCAAAAAACTATACTGGATTGATCGTTCTAGTCCTATCGAAAAGATAGAAATATTCAGAGGTTGGGAACATTGCTTCTACTTGCAATTTGATGAAGTGGATCAGCCCAACCTCTGGATATTTTTATTTTTCCGATAGGATTAGACCAATCAATCCAGTGAAGTTTTTGGCATTCGCCATCATTTTTTCTTTAGTTTTTAAAAAATTTAAAAATAAAAAATTAATTATGCATATTTCTGCTGAACGTGTAGATGCACATTTTCGATATGATAATCAGGAGAATTTTCTCTACATTTTAATGCAATTTCAGCCTGCCAGGACTTTTTTGGGTGGTATCAAGTATAAACTCGAGTCTTGTTTTACTGGCCTGAAACATTTATATCCACCCGCACTCATAGGGAATATGCAAATAAGAGAGATAAAAATGCCCCGAGATGGCACGTGATCTAATTTTAAGGGGTCACATGACCCAATTCAATTGCCGCGGGATAACAATGAGCTGTCCATCATGTGGTACCTCAGGTGCCAAAAGTAATGAGCTTCGGCTATTTGAGGTGAGTGAGGAGCGGTGCGCGGGAGTGTGTCAATAAGGGATAGGTTAAATTTTCAACAACTCATGTTTGAAAGAATTATTTTCGAAACATGTGACATATATCTGGAATGAACAGACGAAAAGGTGATACGAATTGTTTAGGAAAATAGAACTTTTGTGAAATATTGAAAAACTAGAAAAAATATTTGAATAAAAATAACCGAATAATTTCAAATACTGCGCTCTAATTGATTGATACGTTGGAAAAAAATAATCAGTATGATTTCAATTTGTAAATGTTTTACAGCATTGAATACTGTGCTCTAAGTAAGCACTAATATTTGAAAACGAAATCCTAAATCACGGAAAAAAAAACTCATTCACATATTCTCATTGAAATTTTCCAGGTAGTCATGAAAATGTTCACGGTGCTACTTATCCCAACGACTGGCAAGATTTTGATGCGAAAACCAATTCTCCAAGACGTTTAGACCAGTGGGTTTTCAACGAATATGATACGTGGATCAACGTTCATGGAAAATCCTCAAAAAATCAAAGTGGAATGCTTTTGTTCTTCCATTTACTGGGCTGTGATACAGTCGGCCATGCTAGTAAACCGCCATCCAGGTTTCTATCTTTTTTTTTATAATTGAGTAGTGTAGCAAGAATAAATAATTTGCCGTTAAAGACGATTTCGAAAAAACACCATCAAGTAAAAACATGCAGCTGGAAAATGATTGGAAATAAAACGCATTCAATTATACACTTCCAAGTATTCTGATGGTTCCAAACAATTCAAATATTTATGAATCAGCATAATAGGTATTTGGCAGTTTATCCTTGGCAAAAAGATGACCCACCTCGCACACGCTATATTGATAAGTACGTGAGGGAAGCTATAGCGCATTTCATGCCCGAATCCTAGAAAACCTGCCTTCCGAGTCGAGGGCAAGAGACAAGATGAGATGTTTTGCATCTCGGGACGTAAATATTATTCTTCACCACGCAAAGATTTAATTTCCCAGGCATGGAGCGGACAAACCTTTCCAGACAGGCGTCTGTCTGGAATAGTATTGCACCATACAGGTTAAAAAAAATGCTTTTGGCGAGTGTAAGCGCTATCAATCGAGCCAAAGGTGACGATTCTAGTTTTCTGTCTCAGAATAAAAAACAAGGAAAATTCAACGATTAGCAAAAATTCCAAGAAATTGCCCTCATTAGTTCGGGATTTGTGACGAGTCACTTTTCTTTGACCCCTCCCCAGCCCCCTAATTTACACTTCTTTTTGTAGCAATAGTTAGAATTAAGTTAGGATGATAAGAAGCCGGCAACAGGTTAGGAAACCTGTCACCGTTGGCCCCCACTCCCAAAAATATTCTCTCCCCTTGCCCCCC